AAAAAAGTTGGAGAGAATATGACGCTTAACTGCGGGGTCCATAAATAACAAAAAAAAGGCACAATACAGTGACTGGAACGAGACTCCAGTCTCTTCCAACCTTTTCTTGAAGCTCTTAATAATCTTGCCCCTTCCATTAAGTTTAAAGCTGAATGGGAATCTAATTCCTTGCTTCCTTTCCTTGATGTCCATGTCCACCGCTCAGATACAGGTTTTTCCTTTTCCGTTTACCGAAAACCTATGCACAGTGGCATGTACATTCACTACTTTTCCTATCATGCTTCCCCTGTCAAGAAAAGTGTTCTTATCTCCCTCTTTCTCGGTGCCCTCCGCATCTGTGATCCTTAGTTCCTTCCAGCAGAAATTTCCGCTCTTCATAATTCGTTTTCCCGTCTTGGCTACCCTTCCCATTTCATAGACTCTGCCCTCTCACGTGCTAAACGTAATTTCTTCTCTCCCAAACTCTCTACTCCTGGGAACTCTTCTATCCTCTGCCTTCCCTAAATTTCCGGTCTTTCTAATCTCAACAATTCTCTCCGTCCCTTAGACATCAAGCTTACCTTCCGCCAGACTAACACTCTTTGCACTAATCTCGTTCATACCTCTCCTCCCTCTACAGATATTCCTGGTGTCTACTCTATTTCTTGCTCCTCCTGTCCACTTCAATACTTCGGAGAAACTGGTCGATCTCTTTCTGACAGACTTAAGGAGCACAGAAATAGTGTTAGGCTTGCCGACACTAACAATGCTCTTTTCTGTCACGTCAGAGATCATAGCCATCCTATTGACTGGTCTTCTGCTAAAACTGTCTTCCCTACTTCCAACTCGAACATTCGCCGTCTAGTTGAATCCTCTCTAATACACAACTTTCCTTGTATGAACCTTAGCCCTGGCTTCGTCTCTGTAGATGCCTTCCTCTCCCACTACATTGTAAAATGCTCCAAACTTCAGAACACCCGTGACTAACCTGACTCCTCATTTTTTCTTTTTCTTTTTTTCTTCTCTCTCTCCCCTTTCCTCTTTTTTTTTTCTCCTCTGGGTTGTCTTTCTCTTTCTGTCTCGTGTTTCTGTTCCTTCTTCATTTTATTTCCCACTTCCCTTTCATGCATCTCTGTGCGCTTGCTCTCCCTCAGTGGGCACCAAAGCTCTCTTGCAGTGCTCCCCTCCTTTGTATTTGACTGGCTCGGCCTCCTTATTTCCCACTTCTACCACTACCACTACTACTCTTCTACTACTACTACAACTACTGATGAAATTAAGACACATGTGCGGCGTCTGGTTGTCTTTGTTGTGGACGTTTCGCCATCCAGTGGCTGGCTGGATGGCGAAACGTCTACGATAGGGATGCCCGGGTGTTGCGCATGTGTCTTAATTTCATCTTGTCGGTATTATATACCATTCTTGTACTACTACTACTACTACTACCACCACCTCTTCCTGCCTATATATAGCCGTCCTGCTCCACTTCTGGTTAGTGTGACTTTGTCAATGGTCCAAGTCGGACCGAAACGTCGTCGTAAGCTTCTCTCTTTTATGTATGGGTTATTTGTGTATCGTTCCAGTCACAGTATTGTGCCTTTTTTTGTTATTTAAAGAAAAAAATACCTGTGATACTGTTTTATGATGGGAGCCGCGCTTGACACGTGGTATTGTTATAACGTGAGTGGCGCTGATGACATAGTTACCTTGTTTGTTATAATTACGATAACTTTTTATGTAATTGTCGTACAGAGACGAGACACACACCAAAATGTTGCCAGATGTTTGCTCTATTTTTGGTAAGGTTAACTAATTTTTCATATTTTTTTCTATTTTTTGGTGTCTCTAGGCTCAGATATTTTGATCAGCTCCTCGTTAACAATGGTGTTGAGGGTGGCAAGATTAGGGTGAGAGATGGCATAAGTCGTGTCGTCAGCAAAGAGAATGGGTTTCAGGTGTTGGGATATGTTTGGAAGATCATTGATGTATATGAGGAAGAGCAGGGGACCACGGACACTTCCCTGCGGAACTCCAGTATCAAGTGGCCGTGTTGCTGATGCTGTGTCTTATACCTTAATGGTCAAGTTTGTGGAGTAGGATGCCATGGTCTACTGTGTCAAAAGCTTTTCTTAGGTCAACAAAAATTCCTAGTGGATATTCCTTATTTTCCAATGCTGTGTAAAGCAGATCTAGCATTTTTATGATTGCATCATTAGTACCTTTATTTTTCCTGAATCCAAATTGGCAGGGGTTGAGTATGTTTTGTGCTGTTATAAATGAATATAGTCTCCTGTGTACGAGTTTCTCAAAGATTTTGGATAGCAATGGTAAATTTGATATTGGCCTATAGTTGTTTAAATCTGTAGGGTCACCACCTTTATGTATTGGTGTAACCCTTGCCGTCTTGAGTAGTTTCGGGAAGGTGCTAGTTTCTAGTGACTTGTTAAAAAGTAATGAAATAGCATGCGAAAGGACATGGGCCACTCGCTTGTACAATAATGGTGGGACATGAGACAGATTCCCTGAGTTATTTTTAAGTGACTTTATAATCTCGGTGACTTCCGTGGGCTCAGTTGGAGCAAGATAGAAGGAATTTGGGAAATTCCCATCTAGGTAGTCCCCAGCATGGGCATTGGTATGTGGGATTTTATTGGCAAGATTAGATCCTATGGTTGAGAAGAAGTCGTTTATCTTGTTAGCTGTGTCAGTGGGATGCAGTGGTGTTTCATTAGGCTTAGTTAGGACAATATTCTTGTTTTTTTTTTTCAGTTTGTGGGTCCCTAGAATCTGAGAGAGTGTTTTCCAGGTCTTTTTTATATCTCCTCTTGTGTCTGAATCTACTGGAGTAGTATAGTTGTTTGGCTTTCTTTATTACTTTGGTGAGGACTGATGAATAGTGTTTAAGAATATCTTTGTGTATTAAGCCCTGTCTATATTGCTTTTCATATTGGTGTTTCTTATCAATGGATTTCAGAATGGTGCTGGTTAGCCATGGGCAACCAAGACGTTTGTTTGTGATCTGTTTCGTTTTTATAGGACAATGTTTGTTGTATAGTCTAAGTAATTTGTTAAGAAAAATGTCTGTCCAGTCATCAATACCATTGGCCTTGGAGAATTCTGTAGGCCAGTCAACAGTCTCTAGGTCAGCTGTGAACTTCCTTATTGAGGCCTCGTCATGGAGTCTAAATGAGACTTTGTTGTATTCAAGTGGTGGTTGACTTATGTTTGTCAAGAGGAAGGTAGGGTACGATATTATGTGCCGCAAACTGCCCTTCTCACACTATACCATTCTCTCATTTATCCATACCTCACCTGTGCTATTTGTGCTTGGGGATCAACTTCAGCAATGCATCTAAAGCCAATAATAACCCAACAAAAAGCCGCAGTAAGAATAATCACTAAATCCCATCCCTGGCAACACCCCCTCCCCACTCTTCACAGATCTAAACTTACTCCCTATTCAGAACACCCACACTTACTACTGTGCAGTCTACATCTACAGGACCTTAAATTCCAATATTAACCTTGACCTAAAACGCTTTCTTGATAGTTGTGACAGAACCCAAAGGCATAACACCAGACACAAACATCTCTACGACATTCCCCGTGTCCGACTAAACCTTTGCAAAAATTCAATGTATGTCAAAGGCCCTAAAATCTGGAATACCCTACCTGAGAACTCTAGAACTGCAGACACATTCATCACCTTCAAAACTACCATTAGAAAACATCTTATCTCCCTGATAAACCCCATCAACTAACTACACGAATACCACCTGGTGGTTCACACTTACACTCACTCACTCATTTGACCATAAACAGAAATATTAATCTTAAAATAATGAATCCTGTGATACTCCAATACTGAAACTATGTACTGTGCCAAAACAAAAGCATTCACATTGCTAAACTCACAAACTAGTATTTAGTCACTTAGCCATAATACCAACTTACCTCATAATTTGTAATATTTTACAATTAAGAATAAAACTAAGTCTGCCCGAAATGCCTAGCCATGCTAAGCGTTCTAGTGGTACACTCTGTAATCACAATTTTACAACGTGTAAACCACACAATAACCAAATTTCTGTAAAATCAACATTGTAATCCTTACAGAGAATAAACTTTGAATTTGAATTTGAATTTGAACCTGAATGTATCATATATCCCATATGTTATATAAACTCTACGGGTTTAGCTTTTATTCCCCCTGATTAAAAGTTTTTAAGTTTAATGTTTATTATTTATTTATTTATTTATTTATTTATAATTTGAGCACACTTACAGAGGTACAAAAAAAATACAGATAAGAGCAGCATGCCAAAGCCACTTATACTATGCATAGCATTACGGGCTGGCTTAAAATTAACTTAAGATTAACTAAGCAATGATGAAATTAGTGAAAAACATTAATGTAAACTGATTACTATAAAGCACAAGTGAGTATTACAAAGACAGGTCATATGGTTGCATGCATTGTTGTAAATTCAGTAGAATGGAGTATTCTATTAGGTAGTGAATTTAAAAAATAATAAAGTTAGATTGGGTTTTAGGTTTAACATTTATGTGATATAATTGTGAGAAACATTTAAGTATACATTTTTAAGGTTCAGTTATTCAGTATTTATTTGGTTTTGGGTGAGTAAGTGATCTTTGAGAAGAGACTTGAATTTATAACAGGTAGTGTTTCTTTTATATTTACAGGTAATGAATTCCAGATTTTAGGGCTTTTATGTGCATTGAGTTTTTGCATAGCGTGAGATGGACACGAGGAATATCAAAGAGTGATCTGTGCCTTGTGTTATGGTCATGTGTTCTGTTGAGGTTGGCAAGGAGATGTTATGCACCCCATACCCATCCTGTGGGCAATAGTCAAAAGATTACAGAGGTACATGATTGGTCCAGGGACTAGACTCCAAAGTTGTGATAGCTGAGCAAGTTACAGAGGTAATGAACTCACAATTTACAAAGGTAATGAACTCCAGGTATAATTCGAGGTTCAAAGTGAGCGCCAGTTGGGTGTGTGGCGCGTTTCATCACATGTCGTCATCTGTGTTGACATTTTCCGATGAAATCAGTCATGAATCGTAAAGAACAAAAAGTATCATGTTTTGCTGAATGGGAGGAGGGTGTCATGTGAGAGGCAGCGTGGGTAGCATGTGGTGGGGCATGGAGGTGCCCAAGATGCCAGCATCTGAGTGAGATACCACCGGTGAAGCCATGAGCTCGTTCTCAGGCAAGATTAAGGAGTTCCCGCAGATCTCTGTGGACAGATTTGATGGTCGCAACCTTGCCAGTACTGCTTATTTCCTTAGCCATGCCCATTCAGGTGAGTTGTTTGGCAGCATCAGCAGGGAGGCAGTCATGTATATGCAAGTGTGGCATTAAACTCGTTGATAACTGGCCTAGGTATATGCAAGACTAACAAAGCCACTAGTAAAATTGAATAACAGCGGAGAAATTGCTTTGGGTAATAACATAATTAAATATTACAGTAAACTCCTTATAAAAGGGGCTTTGATACAAATGAGGGTCTCATGATCCAAGGAGTTGGCCCTATCCCTATCCTTTAAATGAACCTGATTTATTTATTTATTTATTTATTTATTTATTTATTTATTTATTTATTAATTTGAACATGATACAGAGTAGTACAAATAAATACAGTTAAGTGTAACATGTCAAAAGCCCCTTGTATGCAGAGCATTATGGGCAGGCTTAAAATTAACTTAAGATTAACCAAGCAGTGATATATTCAGTGGTAAAACATTATTGTAAACAGATAACAATTAAGTACAAATGAGTATTACAAAGACAGGTCATATGGTCATTTACTGTGTTGCTGAGCATTCAGTAGAATGGAGTATACAATGGAGCTACAGATGTACCTCTTAACATAACGATAAACGGATCACCTATCACAAAGCTAACAGAGGGAAAATTCTTAGGAATCCACCTCGATAATAGACTCAAATTTCATACACATATAAAACAAATTTCTAAGAAAATTTCCAAGACTGTAGGCATACTATCGAAGATACGGTACTATGTTCCACAGTCAGCCCTCCTGGCCCTTTATCACTCTCTTATTTACCCCTATCTCACCTATGGAATTTGTGCATGGGGCTCAACAGCAACTAACCATCTCAGACCACTAATTACCCAACAAAAGGCTGCAGTTTGAATGATAACAAATTCTCACTACAGGCACACACTCCACAATATTCAAAACACTCAACCTACTCACCATACAAAACATCCATACTTATTATTGCACTTATTACATACATAGAACACTTAACTCTGATATTAACCTCCCTCAAACATCTCCTTGCCAACCTCAACAGAACACATGACCATAATACAAGGCACAGATCACTCTTTGATGTTCCTCGTGTCCATCTCACGCTATGCAAAAACTCAATGCACATAAAAGGCCCTAAAATCTGGAATTCATTACCTGTAAATATAAAAGAAACACTACCTGTTTATAAATTCAAGTCTCTTCTCAAAGTTCACTTACTCACTCAAAACCAAATAAATACTGAATAACTGAACCTTATAAATTGTATATCCTAAATGTTACTCACAATTGTATCACACAAATGTTAAACCTAACTTTGTTATTTTTTTAAATACACTACCTAACAGAATACTCCATTCTACTGAATGAACAGCAATGCATGCAACCATAGGACCTGTCTTTGTAATACTCAGCTGTATAGCCCTTGTGGCTTAGCGCTTCTTTTTTGATTATAATAATAATAATTTGTAATACTCATTTGTATTTTATAGTTATCTGTTTACAATAATGTCTTATCACTGATTTCATCATTGCTTAGTTAATCTTAAGTTAATTTTAAGCCAGCCCGTTATGCTATGCATATAAGTGGCTTTGGCATGCTGCTCTTACCTGTATTTTTTGTACCTCTGTTTGTATGCTAAAATTTCTAAATAAAATTCTCTTGGGTAATGTAATTAAAAAATAACAAAGTTTGATTGGGTATCAGGTTAAACATTTATGAGATACAATTATGAGAAACATTTATGAGATAAAGTTTTTAAGATACAATTATTCAGTATTTATTTGGTTGTGGGTGAGTGAGTGATATTTTAGAAGAGACTTGAATTTATAAATAGACAGTGTTTCTTTTATATTCACAGGTAATGAATTCCAGATTTTAGGGCCTTTTATGTGCATTGAGTTTTTGCATAGTGTGCGATGGACACGAGGAACATCAAAGAGTGATCTGTGTCTTGTGTTATGGTCATGTGTTCTGTTGAGGTTGGTAAGGAGACGTTTGAGGGGAGGGTTTATGTCAGAGTTAAGTGTTCTATGTATGTAGTAGGTGCAGTAATAAGTATGGATGTTTTGTATTGTGAGTAGGTTTAGAGTTTTGAATATTGGTGGAGTGTGCTGTCTGTAGTGGGAATTTGTTATCATTCTGACTGCAGCCTTTTGTTGGGTGATTAGTGGTCTGAGCTGGTTTATTGTTGTTGAGCCCCATGCACAAATTCCATAGGTGAGATAAGAGTAAATAAGTGAGTGATATAGGGCCAGGAGGGCTGACTGTGGAACATAGTACCATATCTTCGATAGTATGCCTACGGTCTTGGAAATTTTCTTGGAAATTTGCTGTATGTGTTTGAAATTTGAGTCTATTATCAAGGTGGATTCCTAAGAATTTTCCCTCTGTGAATTTTGTGATAGGTGATCCGTGTATCATTATGTTAAGAGGGACATCTGTAGCTCTGTTACCAAACTGAATGAAGTAGGTTTTGTCAATGTTTAGAGTAAGTTTGTTAGTCCTCATCCAGGTAGATATTTTCTGTAATTCGGTATTTACAGTATTGGCTAGCGTGACTGGGCTCGGATGAGAGAAGACGTATGTAGTGGGTTTGAGTAGTTGCGATGCATTTGGAGGTCATTTATGTATATGAGAAAGAGAAGAGGGCCAAGGACACCTACTGTGGGACGCCTACTGTAATTGGCTGTGCGGAAGAGTTTGCCCCATTTGTGTACACATTGGCTTCTTTTGCTGAGATATGACTTTAGGTAGTTAAGGGAGTGCCCTCTTATACCATAGTGTGACAATTTTATATGGAGCAAGTCATGGTCAACTGTATCAAAAGCTTTTCGTAAGTCAATGAAGATCCCCAGTGGGACTTCTTTTTCTCTATTGCAGTGTATATATGTTCTAGCATGTGTATAATAGCATCATTAGTATTTTTATTAGGCCTGAACCCAAATTGACAGGGGTCGAGTATGTTTTGGGAGATGAGGTACGAATAGATTCGCTGATGAATTAATCTTTTCGAAGATTTTAGAGAGAGGGTGTAAGTTGGATATTGGCCTATAGTTATTCAAGTCTGTTTGGTCTCCTCCTTTATGAATCGGGATGACCCTTGCTATTTTGAGAACTGTAGGGAAGGTAGAGGATTCGATGGATTTGTTAAAGAGTGTTGCAATGATTGGTGATAGCACTTGTGACGCTTTTTTATATATAAAGGGTGGTAAGGTATTTAAATCTCCTGTCTTGTTTTTTAGTGTGTTGATAATAAGGGAGACTTCAGTTGGGTTAGTCGGAGCTAGGAACAGTGTGTTCGGGTAGTTGCCAGTGAGGTAGTCGTTGGGTGGGGTATCTGGGCTTAGGATTTTATTGGCAAGGTTTTTTCCTATAGTGGAGAAATCATTGAGTCTGTTTGCTGTTTCAGATGGTGGGAGTTGGGGTTCATCTGATTTTGTTAATTTTATTTCGCTATTTTGTGATATCTTTTTTGTTCCTAGAATTTCTGATAAGGTTTTCCAGGTCTTTTTTATATCACCTCGTAAGTTGGATAATCTGTTCCCATAATACAATTTTTTAGCCCTTCTTATCAGGCTGGTTAGGACTGACGAGTAACGTTTTGTTTGGTCTCTGGTTATGTGACTCATTCTGTACTGTTTTTCATATAGGTGCTTTGTATTTATGATTTGAGGATGCTGGGTGTTACCATGGACTGTTCAGTCTCTTAGCTGTCATGTTTAGTTTTTTTTAGGGCAGTGCTTGTTATAGAGGTATTGGGTCTTTTTTAGAAAATTATTAATACATTCGTCAATATCTGCATAGATTTCTAGCTCAGTGTCCCAGTCAGTGTTTGTCACTGCTGCTGTGAAGTTATTAATGGCTGCCTCATTATGAAGTCTGAAAGTGACTTTAGTAGTGTCTTGGGGTAATTTGCCAAAATTTGTTATGAGGAAGGTAGGGTAGCGGTCTGTGGTATTATCTGTGATTATGCCTGATTTTAAAGGGGATATGGTGTTGGTCCACATGTGGTCTAGTAGGGAAACACTAGTGTCTGTAACTCTTGTAGGTTTTGTTTCTGTTTGTAGCAACTTGCATTTACTCATTGTGTTTGTGACTTCAGTAACGTGTGGGTCATGGTTTTGCAGATTTATATTGAAGTCACCTGAGAGAAGTGAGTGATCTTTGTTCATGCGTGCATCAGTTATCATACTTCCTAGGTTTTCACTAAAACGGCTAATGTTAGACTGTGGTACTCTGTCGATGTTTATCACTGTGAGAGGTTATGGTAGGTATTTGGATTTGAATTTAGCTATTATATATTCCCCATGTTCATCCCTTGTGCAAGTATTAGTGATACATTCTAGCTGGTCTGAGTAGTATATAGCTGTGCCACCCCCTTGTTGATCTGGCCTACAGTTGTATATGGCTGTGTAACCAGGAATGGTATAGACATCTGTAGTATCAGGCTTTAGCCAGGTTTCGGTGAGAGTAATGATGGATATACTGGCATGCAGGGAATTTAGTAATGCTATGAGGTCATCGTAATGTTGCTTAAAGATCTGATATTGTAGTTAAAGACAGTTATGTTGTTGTTGGCTCTGAGAAGTGCCTTTGATTGTTCTGCTGTGTAGTAATTACAGTTACTGTTTGATTCATTTAAGTCATTCAATAAGAGGTTGGTATCAGGATCAATGCTTGTAATCATAAGATTTATAGTGAATCTATAGTTAGAATTAAGTATAAGACAAAGTAAATATTCTAAAGCTATAAAATAGCACCTGAATTATTTTAACAAATGTAAAAATATGAGCTAAGATAGTTCTTTAAAGCTAAAATAAAGGAGACAGTATAAAAAGACTAAAATAATTGTGAATATATGAACTAAGGTAGTTATATAAAGCTAAAATAAGGGAGAAAATATATAAGGGACTAAATTAAGTAATGGTAAACAAAGTTAAATTGACAAATAGTCACTATTATATAATATTGATTGGAGTAAGATCTGATTTGTAATATATAATAAGTTGAGCAATTTATTGTAATATAAAAAGTAAAATTAATATGAGGTAGTTGGTACTAGCTTGCAATAAAAAGTTTTGGAACTTGAACAATAATGTAATTGGAATATACACTAATTGTACACACAATATAGTCACTAAGATATGAAGAATAATCTAAGAGTAGGAGTTGCCTTATAGAATAAAGTTTGAGCAATTAATATCACTATAGGAATATTATTTGAGGTAGTTGATACTAGCAGTATGACCCCTATGGGTTTATTGTTCCCCCGTGATTATATTTCTACTATTCTCATTACAGGAATATATTATATAAAAATTAAAGAAGATGAAGCACATTCATACAGATGAAGATGTATTTGAAACTGTTGAAACAAATTAAATTATACTTCCTGGTAATACCTGATAAATGCAAGATTTAAAATAAAGATACTTTATTTCAGCATGATACAGTATTTGTACAAAGGTGAATTACATTTAGGGGTGCATGCCAAAAGCCCCTTAATATGCAGAGCATTTCCAGCAAACTTCAGAGATATAATTTTTTTTACATTGACACAATAAAAAAATAGGACCAGTAGCATTATGTACAGTACATTTTTCTCAGGACAAGCATGTTATATATTGCATGAGAAAATGTTTATTTTTTGTGGAAATTGTTTATTTAGGTGATAATAGACAAAATCTTTTATTCATTATGTAAATTCTTTGTTTTATTAAGTTCCTGGAAGTAATTTTTTTTTTTGTTTGTGTGTGTGTGTGCATGTACTCGCCTAATTGTGGTTGTGGGGGTCAAGACTTAGCTCCTGACCCCACCTCTTTACCAAGTGCTACTAGGTCCTCTCTCTTCCTCCTCCATGAGCTTTATCATGTCTGTGGTCTCTGTACTTTGATGCAGAGTGTGTAGTTTCGAATACTGCTTTGGACAGAAAGATAATGTGTTTTGTGTTTTTTTTTTTGTGTTTGTGTGTGTATATTTTTTTGTGTTTTTGTTTGTTGCATGAGAGTGAGAAGCAGTTTTGATAGTGACCGGTTTTGGAAACATGTTGCCTTTTCTTCCTCACCTTCCTTCTAGTCAGTCATTACTTTGCTCAGTCATGTTTAAAAGGGCATTCACAGAGACAGCCAAGGGCTCGAGGAAGTGTATTGAGTAGGGGTGAAGAAAAACCATTCTGATGTTCTGCATACACAGTTTCCACACCTTTTGTAGTTGATGTGAGAGGCTAGGTTATCTCTTACAAGTACTTTAGTTTCATCAGCAGGCAGTTTGCAATAGTACTAGAGGACTACTCTTTTGTACTCTTTTAAACCACTCAACACATACATCTGAATCAAACATTCCAGAGCTTGTGTGGTTGTACAGTACATATATTGTTTCATTCTTTACCCTTGTAAACAATATTCAGATCTAGAACTTCACCAGCAGCAGTTACAGCAAACATGATAGATGTCATACTTTTGGTGGTATTCATTATCCTTTCAGCATGCTTTGCACTTTTCCTGAAGATCTGCAACTTGCCTCAAGGGTCATCAGTTTTATCGTTTTCGTCATAATTGATGATATTGACTGGAGGCACACCATTTGTCTGGTCAGGCAGTCACAGTAAGCAGAAACATCTGTTACTGTAACAGTTGCACTGTTTCATGAGATGTTTTGTCAGATGCACATTGATAGCAAAATTCTTATGTCTCATCAGGAATCCATGTGCTCAAATCAGTGCCTGTAAGATTATTGAGAAACTCTCGCATAACAATCTGATTGTGGTTCAGGTAATCTTTGACAAAGTTTCAACTTGTTGACATTGAAAACCATTCCAAAATTGCCCGAAGTTACATGTCACTACCATAAAAGTCAGATAAAAGTACTAATTGAACATTTCAATTAAATGGTCATGGTCTGCTTAATCAGTCGACTGCCAGACATGGACAGACGTCCAGTAAAACAGATTTAGTCTGCTGTATTGATGACACGACTGGACATACAAAGATAAAACTAATGCAGGTCAAATACCAAGTGATTTTCCCAAATGTAACAAATAGGTTTGGGCCCTGTGAGCTATTGCCAATATGAAAATAAAGTTGTTGATGTTAAATAGTGATTGTCATTGTTGTAATTTCATTATTTTCCAGAGATGGCTAATAATGACACTAGCACAAAGTACGTAATGTGTTTTCTACTTTTTTTTTATTTTGCAGACCATATGATTGGGCTGAGTTCTCCCCAATTCTTAGACCACTTAGAAAGCAATAGTGGTGTATACTTGTACTGTTCTGCTATCACTGCTCGCTTTCTGCAAGCATCTATCAGACATCGCCCCCTTGACCCATTTGTGCGACCACTTCCTCCAGAGGAACCTGTGAAGATTACTGTTCCCAATGTTGCAGAAGAAGCAAGCCACCAGCTTTGTGTTACTCTTATACCTGCAGGACACTGCCCTGGCTCAGTCATGTAAGATATATTTTCATTTATCTCTGTAAGAATTTAGTTTTAATTGAATGTTTCCCTTAATCACAGTTTATTCAAATATTAAGTTGATTTAACATAATACATTTGAATATTGTAAGAATTTAACGCTAAACACAGTACAGTGGACTCCTGTTTTTGGCCGGTGCAAAAATCGTACAATTCGGATTTCGAGTACTTTTTTGGGGAAAATTTCCCCCCGGGTTTCGTACATCGGCTTGGAAATTGACGGTACCAGACGCATCCACCTAGGCCACTCATATATTCATGACTCACTCTTGGGCACAATAAATGACTTATTTTACATTAATTTAGATATTTTCATTAATCCATCATTGATATTTTCTTCAAAATTTTGTAAGAAACACGTTACATAGCATATAAACATGCCTTTGTTACTTGTTCACTAAGAGTGTCCTTCTAGTCTTAGCGCCATAGTAATAAGAACATAAGAAAGAAGGAACACTGCAACAGGTCTACTGACCCATGCGATGATGTTTTCTTCAAAATTATACTATAAGAAGCACATTACATAGCATATAAACATGCAATGTTTATATGCCATCGAGGGGTGGGGTCGGGCTGAGGGTAAACATTGCGTTTTCTCTGGCACAGCTTCAGAGAAAACGTGTGTGAATCTGCGTTGGCCCAGTTACTGCCCTTAACCCTTTCAGGGTCTGTGTCGCAGTTCTATGGCTTTGAGTTCTGGGTCCAAACCTTAGTTCTACGCCATGAACTCAGTTCACTCAGATAGGCTGTGAGTGGTAAATTTGGGCCTAGATATGAGAGAATACATCTATGTGGTAACTGTGCACCACATAAAACAAATCCTGCAGCACATAGTGCATAATGAGAGAAAAAACTGAGACCGTAATTTTGAATTAAAACAGCGAATTTGCGGTGTTTTTTCGTATGTGTTTTTTCTTGGTCTCATTTGATAGAATGGAAGTTATATTATAGAAATAGAGATGATTTTGATTGGTTTTAGTACTGGAAATGGCTTGAAACTGAGCTCAAAATAGCAGAAATGTTAAATTTTTCCCGATGTTCAAGAGTAAACAAATCACATCTTTCATCCAATACACGTCAGCTGATGGATCTTAGGTACATTCACAAATGTGCTAATATTATTTATACAATTATTACAAATTGCATAACAGTAAATCTTTCATTTTTTTATTTGAATAAAAATTCATTGTTAATGAAAAATCAAAATGGAATTCATTTATAAAGAACCTTCAACCCCAATGCTTCATCTAATTGGACGTCCTTGTTTCTGGGAAAGGCTCTGCCCCATATAGTTTAGGTAATCGAGCATCCACTGTATTTGCATTCGAGTACACTACAGCCTCTCCTTACTTACCAGTGTACTTGTTTACCAACAACTCGGACTTATGATGGGCTCTCTGACCAGTATGCATACCTAAATAATGTATATTAGAGCTGATTTTCTCTATTCTGTGTACAGTAGGGCCACACTTATACGGCAGGTTAGGTTCCAGGCTACTGCCCTAAAGGGAAAATCGCGGAATGCCATTTTTTCCACTTATAAATGCATGTAAATGCCAGACAAGTTTACACTAACCCTTTGACTGTTTCGGTCATATATATACAGTGGACCCCCGCATAACGTTGGCATCACATAGCGTTAAATCTGCATAGTGATACATTTTATTGCTAAAATTTTGCCTCGCATAGCGCTAAAAAATTCTCTCAACGCGATTCGTCCGAGACACGTCCATGCGGCCTGAGCCAGCCTCGCTTGTTCTGCAAGTGACATTGTTTACAAGCCAGCCTCCGCGGTAACATTCAAGCATACAATCGGAACATTTCGTATTATTACAGCCTTTTTATAGTGATTTCACCTGAAAAATAAGTGGCCATGGGCCCCAAGAAAGCTTCTAGTGCCAACCCTACAGGAATAAGGGTGAGAATTACTATGGAGATGAAGAAAGAGATCATTGCTAAGTATGAAAGTGGAGTGCGTGTCTCCGAGCTGGCCAGGTTGTATAGTAAACCCCAATCAACCATCGCTACTATTGTGTCCAAGAGAACGGCAATCAAGGAAGCTGTTCTTGCCAAAGGTTTAACTGTGCTTTCAAAACAGAGATCGCAAGTGATAGAAGATGTTGAGAGACTGTTATTGGTGTGGATAAACGAAAAACAGATAGCAGGCGATAGCATCTCTCAAGCGATCATAAGTGAAAAGGCTAGGAAGTTGCACGAGGATTTAATTAGAAAGATGCCTGCAACTAGTTGTGATGTGAGTGAATTTAAGGCCAGCAAAGGTTGGTTTGAGAGATTTAAGAATCGTAGTGGCATACATAGTGTGATGAGGCATGGTGAGGCTGCCAGTTCGGACCAAAAAGCAGCTGAAAAATATGTGCATGAATTCAAGGAGTACATAGACAGTGAAGGATTGAAACCTGAACAAGTGTTTAATTGTGACGAAACAGGCCTGTTTTGGAAGAAAATGCCAAGCAGGACCTATGTTACTGAGGAGGAAAAGGCACTCCCAGGACATAAGCCTATGAAAGACAGGCTTACTCTGTTGATGTGTTCCAATGCTCGTGGTGATTGCAAAGTGAAGCCTTTATTAGTGTATCACTCTGAAACTCCCAGAATGTTCAGGCAAAAGAATATCCTCAAGGCTAATTTGTGTGTACTGTGGAAGGCAAACAATAAGGCATGGGTCACTAGGGACTTTTTCTATGACTGTTACACCAAGCATTTGCCCCCACTGTGAAAAATTACCTAACTGAAAAGAAATTAGACCTTAAGTGCCTCCTGGTGTTAGACAATGCCCCTGGTCATCCTACAGACTTGGCAGAGCGACTTTGTAGGGACATGATCTTCATTAAGGTGAAGTTTTTGCCTCCTAATACCACTCCTCTCCTGCAGCCCATGGACCAGCAGATCATTTCAAACTTCAAGAAACTCTACACAAAAGCTATGTTTCAAAAGTGCTTTGAAGCAACCTCAGACACTCGATTGACTCTAAGAGAGTTTTGGAAAGATCACTGTAGTATCCTCAGTTACACAACTGAGGATACTACTAAGGCTTGGGAGGGAGTGACTAAGAGGACCTTGAACTCTGCTTGGAAGAAACTGTGGCCAGAATGTGTAGAAGAAAGAGATTTTGAAGGGTTTGAGGCTAACCCTGAGAAGTGTATGCCAGTTGTGGAATCCATTGTGGCATTGGGGAAGTCCTTGGGGTTGGAGGTTAGTGGGGAGGATGTGGAACAGTTGGTGGAGGAGGGCAATGAAGAACTAACCACTGATGAGCTGCAAGACCATCTTCAAGAGGCCAGAGCTGAGGAAACTGCTTCAGAGGAGAGGAGAGAGAAATTGAGGAAGTTGCCTACTTCAAAGATTAAGAAAATGTGTGCAAAGTGGATTGAACTGCAAACCTTTGCAAATCAAAATTATCCTGAAACAGCTACTGCAAGCCTTGTTGGCAACCTGTACAATGACATGTTATGGCCCATTTTAGGAAAGTCTTAAAGGAACTGGAGTACAGAGCTCTATGGACAGATTTGTTGTGCGACAGAGGTCCAGTGACTCTCAAGCTGGTTCTAGTGGCATTAAAAGAAGGGAAGTACCAAAGGGACTTGCTAACCTCAAGTCCAATGAAGGGATTCTCCTTCTAAACATAACAATTCCATATGTAGTAATAGTTTATTATCACCCCTACCATCTGTGGGGTAGTCAAAGATACAGAGTACATATGCAGACTGGACTCCACACACTCCCCTCTTCCCATCCTATCAATCATCACCAGATCTTCAATAAAGGTAAGTGTCATGTATTCTATTCTTAGTAGAGTAGTAATTGTGCATGTCTTCTTCAATTTGTGTATATTAAAATTTATTAAAATTAATATTTCATGTAGTAAAAATTTTTTTTTTTTCATACTTTGGGGTGTCAGGAATGGATTAATTTGATTTCCATTACAGTGGACCCCCGCATAGCGACCTTAATCCGTGCAAGAGGGCTGGCTGTTATGCGAAATGTTCGGTATGCGAATGAATTTTCCCCATAAGAAATAATGGAAATCAAATTAATCCATGCAAGACACCCAAAAGTATGAAAAAAAAAAATTTTACCACATGAAATGTTAATTTTAATACACACAAACTGAAAAAGGCATGCACAATTACATGACACTTACTTTTATTGAAGATCTGGTGATGATTGATGGGATGGGAGGAGGGGAGAGAGTGTGTTAGTGTTTAGAAGGGGAATCCCCTTCCATTAAGACTTGAGGTGTCGAGTCCTTTTCTGGGGTTACTTCCCTTCTTCTTTTAATGCCACTAGGACCAGCTTCTGAGTCACTGGACTTCTTTCGCACAACATATCTGTCCATAGTGGCCTGTACCTCTCGTTCCTTTATGACTTCCCTAAAGTGTTTCACAACATTGTCAGTGTAATAGTCACCAGCACGGCTTGCAATAGCTGTGTGAGGGTGATTTTCATCCATAAAGGTTTGCACTTTCAGCCACATTGCACAGATTTCCTTAATCTTTGTAGTAGGCAATTTCTTCAATTTCTCTCTCCCCTCCTTTGAACCAGTTTCCTCAGGTCTGGCCTCTTGCTCTTGAAGTTGATCTATCACTCATCAGTGGTTAGTTCTTCATTGTCCTCCTCCACCAACTCTTCCACATCATCCCCACTAACCTCCAACCCCAAGGACTTCCCCAATGCCACAATTGATTCCTCAACTGGCATACTCCTCTCAGGGTTAGCCTCAAACCCTTCAAAATCCCTTTTGTCTACACATTCTGGCCACAGTTTCTTCCAAGCAGAGTTCAAGGTCTTCTAGTCACTCCCTTCCAAGCCTTACCTATAAGGTTTATACAATTGAGGATATTAAAGTGATCTCTCCAAAAGTCTCTTAGAGTCAGTTGAGTTTCTGAGGTCACTACAAAGCACCTTTCAAACAGAGCTTTTGTGTACAGTTTTTTGAAGTTTGCAATAACCTGCTG